TAACAAGCTCCAGAAAAGTAATTATAATCTTTGTGTTAAGCCTCACAAGTGCTTTGAACATCAAAAATGCCATGAGTGATAACAATATTACGATGATGAAGCCATGTAATGGTCTGGTTTGTTGTCAAGTCTTCCTGCCTTCCCACACACCTTGCTCTTTAATAGAAGCAGTGAGAAACAACTTTGGCTACCTCTGTAGGGTGAATATTCTTTTACAATCATGTAAGATGAAATGAGATAATATATAAAATCACTGGGTGTTCAGGGGTGCTACTTAAATCCCAACTATTATGTGATAAAGCCATATTTATTATTGTAAGTATGGAGGGGAGAGGAACCAATCCCTCAAGGGCTTCCTCTGCACTAGATCCCTCTAGACTGGTTTCTGTTTTATTTTTATAATTCAGCTGGATATGAACTAAACTCAATACAATAAGGTCGACCCTATCAGTCAGTTATAGGGCTTCCTTGGTAGCTCAGCTGGTAAAGAACTTACCTGCAATGTGGGAGACCTGGGTTCAATCCCTGGATTGGGAAGATCCCCCGGAGGAGGAAACGGCTACGCACTCTAGTATTCTGGCTTGGAGAATTCCATGGACTGTTACATGGGGTTGCTACTTAAATCCCAATTATTATGTGATAAGGCCATATTTATCATTGTAAGTATGGTGGGGAGAGGAACCAACCCTCAAGGGCTTTCTTGGCATTAGATCTCTCTAGACTGGTTTCTGCTTGATTTTAATAATTCAGCTGGATATAATCTAAACTCAATACAATAAGATCAACCTATTAGTTACATGACAACACTTTATTGTTCAGCCATAAACTTATAACTGCTGCTATTGTTCTTCTTATAATACCGAAGGCTACTCAAGGTTAAAGAAATATTTCCTGAATTTTGGAACTGCCCCCTGTAAACTCTGAGATGTGTGGTTTTGTATCTTTCTTTGCAGTAAAGTAGGGATTGCAAGTAATATATCTTTACCATCTTATTTTATTTACTCTATGCTTCCACAAAGGATTTGGGGGAAACTACAGAATATATTAATTTGAGCAAACTCTGGGAGATAGTGGAGGAGAGAGGAGCCTGGAGTGATGCAAGCCACGGGATCCCAAAGAGTCGGACATGACTTAGCGACCAAACACCACCACCACCACCAACAGGACATATATACAGGCTTCCTGGTGGCTCAGTGGTAAAGAATACACCTGTCAATGCAGGAGAAGTGGGTTCAATCCCTGGGCTGGGAAGATACCCTGGAGAAGGAAACGGCAACCCACTCCAGTATTCTTGACTGGGAAACCATGGACAGAGGAGCCTGGCAGGCTACAGTCCAATGGGTCACAAAAGAGTTGGCTACAACTTAGTGACTAAACAACAACAACAGGGTATATATGGTAGAGTATCACTGTCATTATTGTAACTCATTAAGTTTGAGCATTTGCAGTCACACTTGATAAATGACTCAGAGGAAAGAACAACAAAAAAGGAAGTTGTAAAACTGTATTCTCTGAAGGTCTTTAAATAGATTAAATTGTGGTATTCCTTTGCAATGGTCTTCTCGGATAAAATGGAATTTCCTTAGGAATATTCCTTTCTGAAAGATATTTCTGGTGACTTTTACGCTTATGATCCCTTGGAAAAGAACATTAGCATGCCTAATTACATCTTAAGTGTAATTTAACGTTTTCTATCTTTTGACATCATGAGTGAATAGTTATTTTCTCATAGTGCTTTATTGACCTTTTGTGAATGCCTCCCAATTTCTTCAAGCTCTATAAAAATTCATAGTTAGTCTATGGGATAATAATAGTAGTGACAAATATTTATTGAGTACTCTATGTATTAGGCACTATGTTAAGTGCTTTGTGAATGCCATATAGTATTAACTTGTTTAAATATTTCATGAATTTTTTTTGTTTTAAATATACTCTGTGACCATCCATTTCATAAAGCAAATAACTCCTTTAAAAGTTTAGATTTTTATCAACTGATTCACTTAAGCCAGGGCTTGCCTGCAAATTATATATAGACATACAATTTTTACAAAACACTTTTAGCTCCTTAATATCAGCTACAATCTGTGTGTGATACATAGATGGTGCGTCAGGCCTGCCTGACTTTACACCTATGCATCTCATTTAATCCTCATAGTAACCCTAAGAGCTAAATATTATATCCCTGTTTTACAAATAATAAAAGTTTTCAAGAAGTGAGAAACTTGCCTGATATGAGTGTGAGTTGGGATTCAAACCTGGGCCTGGACCTCCACCCTTACTGTGTAAGTGATGAATTGTATTCTTTCTCACCCAAGCTCATATGAGAATGTTTTGATTAGGGAGATGAGAACTGATTGCTCTACACTAAAAGAAAACAGGAACTATTCTGGAAAGCATCTCAAAAAGGAAACACAGAACTGCTTGGAGATGGTAACAGAGGTTAATATTTTAGCTGTCTGTGTTATCGAGACATAGCGTCCTGGAACTTAGGGCCACCTTTCGATATTGAGGGGGATAATAACAAGACAGAAAGTATGCAAAGTGGTACCTGAGAATCTATGAGACAGAGTCCTGTCCAAGGAGTGTCCTAGGACCAGTCCCAAGGAAACTGGAGATGGGGCTCCCTCCTGAAGACGTGGTCCCGTAATCCACCAGGCAGTGCTCTGGGGCAGGGATGCAGCCCCACACCCAAGAGCAAGGTCAGAGGAAGCAGGGCTCCTCTGACTCCCTGACAGTTGACATCTAGTTCTTTCTTCCTGATTCACTACACGCTGACAAGAGGGATTTTCTGTTCTCTTTGCTCTCCTGTTTACACAGAACCTCCCACCCTGGCACCATGTTACTTTGCCAGGAACAACTCATAGAGATGTTTGGGGTGGGAGGAAGAAACTGGACTAAACTCGGGTTTAAACTAGTTTCAAGCAGAAGCCCGTTCCTACCTTTGCCCTCAGATTAATACACAGCTGTTTAATAAACCAGTTTCTGCCTCCTCCGTGAAATGAGAAAAGCTGTGTCATATTCGTTCATGGAAATGTTTTCAGTAGATATCATTAAACTGCCTCCAAATAACCTGACTGCTCCATATTACACATGCTAAATGATAAAATGCCATTTAGGCAGCTTTTTTTTTTTTTTCAGTGTTACTGTCAACAGTTTTCCCATTGAATTCATATACGGATATACCTCAGAAAGAAAATGCTGGAGATAAATGTCTCTAAAGCTGCCGTCTCTCCCTGGGGTTTTTTCCCCTCCAGGTAAAGTTCAGAGGACAAACAGCTTCAGCCACAGAGGGTTGGACAGAGAGAAGCCCCAGAGAACTCTGAGCAGAGGCAAGTTTGCACAAATCTGTCCTGGCAAAGTGTCACTTGACCCCATGGAAGACAAAAACAGACTCATTCTAAAATACATACGGGAGGACCAGAACTAACTCAACACCATCCAACACGGTCCCTGTGACCCTGCATCAGCCCTGGTTACCCCTCTGTGCTTCCCTCATCCTTTCCCGCGTCCTTACTTGACGTTTGCCTAAAGGAGGGAGTTGTTCCAGTAAAGGGAAGTGATCACTACAATTCTACACTCTGCAGATTCCCCAATAAATACCATGTGATTCATGACAATAATAACAGCAGTCGGAATGAAAAGGGGTCACGTGGTTTTCCCAAGACTCTGGAGGTTCCCGTCCACCCCAACCCCTGCTTTCCCTACTCACCCCTACGGGAGTCCGTCTGTGGCAGAAAAGGTGAAGGCCTTAGGACCCGAGAGCCCCCTCCTGCCATTCGCTTGAGAAACAAAGCCTTCCCGCCTCCCAAGTTGAAAGAAATAAAGGAGTCTGAGCTAATCGCAACCTGCAAGCCTGCGGGCGGCCCATCAGCTTGCCAGTGGTGCACCCCGGCGGAGCGAGTACCGGCTTCGAGCTTTGCAGAAAAGGAGAGAGGAGAGAAAACAGAGACAGAAACACAAAGAGAAAGAAAGAAAGGCATTAACCTGGCCAGGAGTCACACAGGTGCACGGAGCCCGAACGCTGAGAGCAGTGTCGGACACGTAGAGGGTCCGACCGTGTGTGCTTCGGGCGGAGGGGCGGGGGGGGGCAGGGCGGGCTGCTTCTAGCTGATGGGGGCAGGGCCGCAGTCCGGATGCAGGGGTATACACAGATTTTTTTTTTCTTATTCACAGGACTCAGGGTTGACCGAGAGCCTTTAACTTTCCTCCACTTGTCAATCTGACCTCTTCGTGGTTCCCAGGGACAGGCGCCCCATGAGAGGGGGGAGGTGAGGTCAGGATGTTGATCACACACACCCCCACCATGAGTCACAGAATTGCGTGGTGCCTTGGGAAGAGAGGATGGTGAGCCCCGGGGGGCTGCCACGTTGCGAGCAACAGCAGTGAGCTGTGTGATTCACGGCGCTGCCTGGGTCTTGAGTTGGCTGCTCAGAGGCCGCAACATGTGGCCTTTTAAGCCTCTTGCAGCCTCACTGTCCTTGGAGTGACTCGTGTCTGTCTGACGGGGATCTGAAGTGTGCAGTTTCACTGTCTCTCTGAACTGGCTACCTGGAACTCCAGGGCGTTTAAGAGCCTCTAGAAACGGAGGGCTGTGCCTTCAGGCTGTAGTTGGCTTTCAGGCAGATGTTAGGAACAGAAAGGAACGCAAGCAGAGGAAAGCTGGGCGGGCGGGCACAAGACCCTCAGGAGAAGGCCCCAGTTGGGAGACAATGCCAACCGAAGGGGATGCAATTCAGCAGGACTGAACCTTGGGGGCACTGAGTGTCATCTTAGCAAAGGATGCCATGTCTGGTGGAGATTCAGGCTCTTGACCTCAATTTAAGTTTAAGCCCTTGCTAGCCCCATAATTCAGAAGACCTGGCTTGCAGCTGTGGGAGCCCTGTCCACAAGCCTCTGACGGAGAGTTTACTGTGAGCGTAGCTGAGACAGCTGGGCCCACCCTGCAGCCCCAGGCCCACCCCTGCACCAGACTGGGCTTTGAGATCAAGTGTGGTCTTTACCTGAAATGCGCCTGGGCACGTCGGTGATGGCGGGCAGCCCGGTGCCCCGCGTGGAGGACAGCGGGGTGGTGGAGTGGATGGACGGAGGAGTCATCTGGCTCAGGTAGGAGGGGTAGGACTGGTCATAGGACCAGGGTGGGGAGGACTGCGCCTGCCTGGGGTCTGGGAAAAAGAAGAAAATCCTTAGCACACCAGCCGCTCTGGCCTACACACACAACCCCAAACTTAAAAAGGATAAAGCAGTAAAAAAAAAAAAAAATCAGACTATACAAGGACGACGAATTTCCCACAACCCCACCCTTGCAGACCCCGTAGAGCACACAGCTTTCTAGACTCTGAGTCTCTATGAAAGTAACAAAATGCATCATGCATAAGGACTATTTGTCTCCCTCACACATAAATATTTCTATTTGGAAAGACTAACAATCATTTAGAAAACAATCTGCTTTGGGTATCTTCACAAAGTTGAACTCTATTTTCTTTGTTTTCTGTGTGTTTTTTAAAATTTATTACTCCAATGAACATGTATTACTTATTTCTTTTTTAAAAATAAATGTTTGGAACAATTTACTCGATTAAAGAGCAGGGAGATGGTGCCTTTTGCTGCTGCGCATCCAGTCAGTATTCTTCAGACATGCTTTCTGGTTCTAAAAATGCATGATTATGTGATTTTAGCACAGTTTTACATCCCAGGCAGTCGATGGGGATGAGGAGCGTGGGGCAGAGAGGAGCTCAGAGGGGACAGCATATAAGTACAACAGGAAAGAAAGGAGCCAGTTATGTTGGGCTTCCCAGGTGGCTCAGTGGTCACAGGTTCCATCCCTGGGTCAGGAAGATCCCCTGAAATGGTAACCCACTCCAGTATTCTTGCCTGGAGAATCCCCATGGACAGAGGAGCCTGGAGGGCTACAGTCCATAGCATCTCAAAGACTGAGCAAGTGAGCATGCACAGTTAATGTTATTCTGATGCTAAAGCTACCCTGGAAAATAGCCTTTAAGAAAAAAACAAAACTTCAAAACCAACCAAGAACAGAAAAGCTTTATCACCACCTAGTTTCAATGTAAAGCACATGAGTTTCTGACAGGAAGAAAAAGACCCAAAACACAACAGGGAAATGTCTTTAATCCTATTGGAATCTGTTTAAACGATGTCACATGTTTGGAATGTGGCCTGGAGTTACCTACAGTCACTTCAATAATAAAAATAATGGGCAACCAACTGGTTAGAGTGAACCGCTGAGAATTAGTAATCTCTTTCAATGTATCTCTAACAGAGTTTCTTGGAGATACACACAGAATCATAAGCTAATTTCTCTTAACTTTTTTTTTTTTTTTTGCGAAGTTGACTTTTTCCTAATTTAAAAAAAATTCCAATACACCAGGCTGTTCTCAAAACAGCTTTGTTTACCAGAATAGCCATGGATTTTGGAACATGTCGAATTAGGTTCAAGTTCTGAGACTTATATTTCTAAGCTGTGTGATCTTGGGTTAATCACGCAGTGACCCTGAACCTCAGTTTCCGCATCTGTGTAAGGGGATGGGAAGTAGTTATATCTGAATCACAGAGATGCGGGAACTGCAGGAGAAAACTATGCAGGGAGGACTAGCGCAGGAGAGTCTCAGCGATATTAATTCTGGCCTTTTAAAAAACCTTTGGTGACACGGGAATTGTTTCATGATTAAAACACACCTGAATTAGAGCGAATCCATTTAGAATAGGTTTAATTTTTAAATTATTCCCATATCACCTATCAGCCTCTGAAAATGAAAAGCTCAATTTTTGAAAACGATAAATATATTTGAGTCAATTCAGGTTTGTCTCTACAAAGAAAAAGTGGATAACAAGATGTGGGTTTTTCTTCTAAGATCATTCTTTCTTTAAAGCCAGTTTTTCTGTACAAAGTCATTTTAGTTTCAGCTATTTCTTGTTTATTTGTTCAATTCAGAAACAATTTCTTTAAAGACTATCTAAATGGGACATACTTTTCTTGACTCAAAATAATTAAATACATCTGGATATTTATCGAATGTTAACTATATCAACAAATATATAGAAAAATTTCATCCAATTCTGTTTTAAGGAACATTTACCTGAGTTTGCAATCTGAATAAAAGTATAGTATTGTAAATGGTTCACAGAGGCGTTTCCTTCAAAAATTGGATGGATATTTAATCATTCAAGTAATGAAATTTTGTGCTTTAAAATGTTCAAGGCTGAGATTGTAATAGATCGGCAACATTTCAAACCTGATCCTTGTTATATATCTGATACAGATATACTTCCTTGCTTTAACCATTAATGTCATTCGCTATTCAGATAAATGGTAAATGATCTTCAGATGGAAAAAGATACATTCCTTACAACATCAGAAAGCAATCTCACAAAGACAAGGCCTTCCCTCAAGCACCATTTTTAATAGATACAAAGGACAAGAACCACACAGCAAAATGAGCAGGGCACACAGGACTCAAATAATCTAACATCACCAGATGACCTTCTGAGCAGTTTCATCTGTATCAACACTCCCATACTGTAGCACGTTACCAGCAGTATAGGGCTCTCTGCCTAAAAGTGGGGGGAAATACAAAGAAATCTAAAGAATGACTAAAATCACTGATGTTTAGACATGTCACAGAGGAATCAGGGGACTTAGCTTGAATGGAAGATACAGCTTTGCATTTCTCCTTAAGCTGAGAGGCAGCTCAGTACAACGGGAAACAAGGGGCCTTTCTGATGAGAGGATCTGAGTTGGAGTCCCAGCTCTGCTATGTGTGAGCTGGATACCTTGGCTGTACTAGCGAACTCTCTGAACCTCAGTTTCCTCGTCTAGAAAATGAGGCAGCACAGCATGGTGAAATGAACATAGCCAAGAGTTCACGTGTGCCAGTTGGACAGCCAATTTGGGGCTTGAATCACAGCTCCCCACTTTGTTGAGCAAGTCACTTAGATTCTGAGGGCCTCAGTGGCTAGACTGCAAAATGGGAGTCAGGATGCTTATTAGGGCTCTGTGAGCATTTACATGAACTAGGCCTTATCTAGTATGTTGTCTGCCACTCTTGGCACATACAAAGTATACAGTAAATAGAAATGATCATTGCTGTCTGTAAAGTGAGTATAATTATAACTACTATCATTTTTGTTTACAGAATTAAATGAAATAACACAAGAAAAGCCTTTTGATAACTCTAAAGTACTATATGAAAATGATCATTATTCTCTGTGGGAGCTCACGTCACATGGCCAAGGCCCTGCTGTGTGACATGGGGTGTGTTTCTTTTTTTTTGGGGGGGGGGTGTGTTTCTTAATGCGGCTGAGTTTTAATTTCCTCATCTGTAAAATGGGTATGATAATATAGTCTCAGCATCATAAGGATTAAATAATATAGAGCAAATGGCTAATCACTATTCAAAAAAATAAAAAATCTGACTCTAGAGGCCAAAAAAACCAAAACATAAAACAGAAGAAATACTGTAACAAATTCAATAAAGACTATAAAAATGGTCCACATCAAAAAATCTTAAAAAAAAAAAAATCTGACTCTAAACTATCCAGCGTGGCTGGGTTGTCAACTGTTAGTCTTAAAAGATGTTCCAGATCAGACTCATCACAATTCAACATAATGCCTGGCACATAGTAGGTGCTCAAGAAACAAACACTGCACAAACCTCCCTGGGTGGCTGGAGTGAATAGTGGGATTTTATATAGAAGTAGTAATTAGTCTGTCTCTAACTTCCCCTTAGGCTATAAAAGAACTTGTATCAAATGAGGTTGGAGCTTTGATATAAACTTCCTGACTGCTGGAATACACACTTGAACTGTCAAAGGCTCACTATCCTTTGAGTAGAAGGCCTTTCTGAAGATTCCCAGTGTTAGCAAAAAGAACTTCTCACTATCCCTAAACAAGCGAGAAGATCTCTCTTTGCTTTCTGTCTCTCAAAGAACAGGCTGCAGGCTGCAGGCTGCCCAATCTCTCTTTCAAGGTCACTATACTAAGATGGTGATAATGATTCTATGATAAAGACCTACTTAAGGAGAATAGGACATGGCTTGGCAACTGAACAACAACAAGGAGAGTTACTGAAGAAAAACAAAACACAAGAACCACCATATGGGGCTTACTAGATCTAGTCTAAGGAATTTGGAAAGGAACTGCAATCTTATTTAAAAAAAATAAAAAAAAAAAAAGGACTGGTCTCCAAATACCCGTCTTTCTCTAATACCCTGTGAATGAGGCCTCATCAACCCCAGCTCCCCCATTTCTGGCCTGTGGTATCTTGGACAAATTATATAACCTATCTGACTTCAAGATTTCTAATGTGTATAATGGGGATAAATAAGAAGACCTCCCTCCTAAAGTTGTTTTAAAGATTAAATGAGGTCATGTAGGAAAGAGCTTAGCACATGGAAAGAACCCAGTAAATGTTCACCACTATTAAAGCATCTCCTTTACTGAGCCCTCGTTCTGTATTTATGTTTCCAGCCCGTAACCTCTTATTCTAGCAAAAGGCCATTTTTAGAAAGCTTCCTGCAGTTCTGAAGTCTGCTGTTTGGAGATATATCTGAAACTATATCTGGTCGCTTCGATAGCCTTTACAATCATTTAACCTGAGTCACGTTCCTTCTTCGTCCTAGCCTCTCCCAGACCAAGAAATCCTAATCTGTTTAGTGTCTTTTCTAATACTGTGTGCATCAACTTTTTTCAAACTATTAGTGGGGGGAAAAATGGCTATAAAAGATCTTGACTTCCTAAATGCCCAACCACTAAGAAAATGTAATCTTATAAATATATGATCACAGCATATTTGCTTTGTTGTGGACAATTATTAAGGCTGACAACAGAGAAAAGTCACCCTAACCTGATCTCACCAATGATTTCTGAACTCAACTTCCTGAAGAAACCTGAGACTTCTGAGATTGACTCTGAACTTGGATGACTCAGAGCAGGTGACACATGTTTTTAGGCATCAATCCTAAGGTTACTAATAGGGAAAAGTGAGTGTAGGACCTAGGTCTGAGACAAACCTACTAATTAACCATTAACGAACAAGAAATGATCTTCATCTACCTTGGGCCCCACAGGGATAGTATAACACATTCCTTCCCTCTGCTGCATCCAGAGTTACACTAAAAGTCTTTCAAGTCTACAGGCACATGGAAGGAA